CCTCTCTGTGTACGCGATGCACGCTGTAACGATAGAACAACCTCCCCGTCCCCCCAGCATCCCTGTGCTGTGCTGGCCATCTATCAATAAACTGTGCGGTCACCACCGTGTCACGAGACTCTGTCCCCCACCCTTGGGACCTCAGGAAGTGTCCCCAGACCCCCCTTTGGCTCAGGGAGGGGGGGACAGGGCTTTGGGGGGGGTGACACAGAGGGATGCTGCAGCCCTCCTGGCTGCTGTTGGGTACCCGAGCATCCCTGTGCTGTGCTGGCTGTGTATCAATAAACAGCATGGTCACCACCGTGTCACACACCTCTGTCACCCCCCCGGGACCTCGAGAAGTGTCCCCAGACCCCCCTTTGGCTCAGGGAGGGGGGGACAGGGCTTTGGCGGGGGGTGACAGGGTGACACAGAGGGATGCTACAGCCCTGCTGGGTCCCTGAGCATCCCTGTGCTGGCCGTGTATCAATAAATGTGTGGCCACCACCGTGTCACACACCTCTGTCACCCCCCCTGGGACCTCAAGAAGTGTCCCCAGACCCCCCTTTGGCTCAGGGAGGGGGGGACAGGGCTTTGGGGGGGGTGACAGGGTGACACAGAGGGATGCTGCAGCCCTGCTGGGTCCCTGAGCATCCCTGTGCCCAATAAATGTGTGGCCACCACCGTGTCACACACCTCTGTCACCCCCCCAGGACCTCAAGGAGTGTCCCCAGACCCCGGTTTGGCTCAGGGAGGGGGGGACAGGGCTTTGGGGGGGTGACACAGAAGGATGCTGCAGCCCTGCTGGCCACTGTTGGGTCCCTGAGCATCCCTGTGCTGGCCGTGTATCAATAAATGTGTGGTCACCACCGTGTCACACACCTCTGTCACCCCCCTGGGACCTTGACAAGTGTCCCCAGACCCCAGTTTGTCTCAGGGAGGGGGGGACAGGGCTTTGGGGGGGGTGACAGGGTGACACAGAAGGATGCTGCAGCCCTGCTGGGTCCCTGAGCATCCCTGTGCTGTGCTGGCCGTGTATCAACAAACTGTGTGGTCACCACCGTGTCACACACCTCTGTCACCCCCCCCGGGACCTCGAGAAGTGTCCCCAGACCCCGGTTTGGCTCAGGGAGGGGGGGGACAGGGCTTTGGGGGGGGTGACAGGGTGACACAGAGGGATGCTGCAGCCCTGCTGGGTCCCTGAGCATCCCTGTGCTGTGTTGGCCGTGTATTAACAAACTGCAGTCACCACCGTGTCACACACCTCTGTCACCCCCCCCCAGGACCTCAAAAAGTGTCCCCAGACCCCGGTTTAGCTCAGGGAGGGGGGGACAAGGATTTGGGGGGGGGGCACAGGGCTGCTAACAGCCCTCCTGGCCACTGCTGGGTCCCTGAGCATCCCTGTGCTGGCAGTGTATCAATAAATGTGTGGCCACCACCGTGTCACACACCTCTGTCACCCCCCCGGGACCTTGACAAGTGTCCCCAGACCCCAGTTTGTCTCAGGGAGGGGGGGACAGGGCTTTGGGGGGG